GGCTTCCTGGAATCAGCTGCTGATCAGTTTCAGCAGCAGCTGACTTGGGGACACCTGGGGTTCTTAAGTTGAATCTGTATGTAAGTCGGAACTGGTGTCCAGACTGATCAGTTTCAGCAGCGGCTGAATCTGGACGCCAGTTCCGACTTACATACAGATTCAACTTAAGAACAAACCTACAGTCCCTATCTTGTACGTAACCCGGGGACTGCCTGTACTATTTAGGACTGTATCATGTACTGTCTCTCCTGTGGGTTCCAAGAAGCAATCATTAATGGTGTCTAGAAATGTTGTCTCTACATTTTGTCTATACAACATTGCCAGGTAATATATCTCAGAATGATAGCCTTCTTTACAACTACATCACTTTCTTGACTAATATTCAATTTGTGATCCACTATAACTCTCAGATCCTTCTTGGCAATTCTACCACCTTCCCAAGTAGCACCCATTTTATGATTAGGCTTTCCTTTCCTAAGAGAAGGCCTTTGCACTTATCTTTATCAAATTTCATCTTAATGTATTCTCAGAAGAACTGTCAAAAAGATTATACGTTATTCTAATATGTTATATCCTGTACTTCCAGTGCTAAAGAGTGTATAGAAAAAATGTACAGCTTGAAGTATATGCTATATGGAGGTGGTAGCAGTGGAGAGAATGAATGAATGAATTCTCTTTCTCTCTTGTGGGCTGGGAGAACAACTGCTGAAAATTAAATTTGTCAAATGCAACTTTTACACTTTCTGTCAATTTTACTTTTAATGGATTTTTATTAATCTGAGCCAGAGGATTAATCCTCATCTATTTTTCCTGCTATTTGCCAATGCATATACTGCAATATTAAAGTTGTGATGGTAATTTACGCAAGAGGGTTCGACTGATGACTAATTACTGAAACAGCAAAATCTTACATGTTCACATTGCTGACAAAAACTCAGGAGGAAAATATTCCTGTCTGATCCGCTGCTAGTTTTCTATTTAATAAAAGTAAAATGTAACAAGCTAGGCTCAGGTTCTGACTTTACTCCCACCCCTGTAGCCCCACTACAATCAAGGAAGATGCATAGATGTAGCTGAGAGCAGACCATGTCATTAGTGACTCACTCATGATTTTCTGAGGAAAGGTTATTACTTCAACCATATGCCATAAAGCAGGGCTGGGCAAAATACAGCCGGGGGGCCAGATCCGCCCTACCAAGCCACCGGATCCAGCCCACCGGCCACCCTGCCGGGATCCTTGGGCACGCAGCTGCCACAGATTAAAGCGCAGTCTGGCAGCTCTCTGCTCTGCAGGGAAGGGGAGGCTCGTGTGATCTCCCACTCCCAGCCCAATCCTCAGCTCCTATCAGCTGGAAACAACCGGCCAATAGGAACTGAGAGATTGGCCTGGGGGATGCGGGCAGCGCAAGCCTCTTCCCCCTCCTGGAGCAGAGAGCCAGGTGGAGGGAGCAGCCTGCAGCTCTAAGTGATCTGGGGTTGCAGCAGGCAGGGAGCCCAGCCTGCCTTGGAGGTGCTGCAGGGTCCCTGGCTTAGGTAAGCGCCTCCCAGTCAGAGCCTGCCTCTGGCACTCCTGCCCCTCCCGAACCCCAACTCCCTCCCCCAGGTCACCATCCAAACCCTCTACACCCTCCTGCCCCAGGTCACGACCCCCTCCTAGACCCTGTACCCCTTCCCAGACCAGAGTCCTCTCCTGCACCCAAACACCCGCCCAGACCCTGCCCCAGGTCACCACCCAAACCCTCTGCAGTCTGCACCCCCTTTTCCCCTTCTCCCAGGTCACAATTCCCCTCAGACTTTGCACCCTCCTGCCCCAGGTCACAACTCCCTCTCTCATCCAAACTCCCTCCCAGACCTCACACTGTCTCCTGTACCCCACTCTCTTACCCCATGCACCCTTCTGCACCCAGCCTCCATCCTAGACCCCGCACATCCTCCACAAAATGTGCGGCCCTTGGCTACTTTCCAAAATCTTGTAGTGCCCCCCCAAAAAATTATTGCCCACCTCTGCCATAAAGCATTAATATCAATCCACAACCAAATTCCACAACAGTTAAGTGTCATGCAAGCTAATGAAATCAGAGCTGAAACTCCAATTCGGCAAAGTACACAAGCAGGTATGTAACATTAAGCAACCACACAGACCAGGCCTGGGTAAAATACGGTCCATGGGCCGCATATAGCCCGCCAAGCCACTGGATCTGGCCTGTGAACACTGGGGAGCCCCAGGCAGGCTCCCTGCTTGCCCCGTCCCACCCACACTCCGCTCAGAGAAGTGGCTGATGGGCTGTTTCTCTTTAAAAACTGTGAGCCTGGAAGGGAGGAGGGGAAGGCTTCAGGCGCTGCTCCCACCCCCAACACAATCCCACTGGCTGGTTTCTGGCCAGAAACTGGCCAATGGGAGCTGCCTGTTTAAATAACAGGCAGCACACAAAGCAGGCCCACACCCACCTCCAGCTCATAGTCAGTCACACATGTGTAGGGCAGGCTCCCAGTCTGTCTGAGAAACGTGGTGGGCTGCTGGTCAGGAGACGCTCAGGAAAGTCTACTGGCCAGAGCCTGCCTCTGCCACTCCAGCCCCTCTCTTCCCCAACCCTCTGCCCCCCTCTGCTTCAAATACCCAAACGCTCTGCCCCCTTCCTGCATCCATATATGCAACAGCTCTGAGTGGTCAGACACCTTCAGAACCTTATTTGTCCACTCAGCCACACCTGTGAATTAAAGTTACTTTAAATTATCTAATGAGTAGTTGGCTGGTCCCATGACCCAGGTCACAACTGCCTCCTTCACCCAAACTCCCTTCCAGACCCTGCTCTCCCTCCTGCTCCCCAATCCATTACCCCAAGCTCTCTTCTGTACCCAGCCTCTCTTCTGTACCCAGCCTCCATCCCACACCCTGCACTTCCATTGATATCATGGAAGTGTGTGGCCTTGAGCCAGGGCTGGATTAAGGGGCGCCTGATTGCAGCTCTAAGGAGCGCCGTGTGCCCGGCCGCACGGGGCCCCTTAAGAGTTGCAATCAGGCGCGGCGCGCCTGGGACCGTGCGGCTCCCCTTAGAGCTGCAATCAGGCGCCACGTGCCCGACTGCAGCTATAAGGTGCGCAGTGCGCCGGGGGGCGGGGCACATGCGTTGTGCGCCCGCTGCCCGGGGCACAAGAGTGGCTCCCGCCGGCCCCGCCCCCCCCCCCACTCCACAGTGCGCCGGGGGGCGGGGCACATGCGTTGTGCCCCCCCTGCCCGGGGCACAGGAGTGGCTCGAGCTGGCCCTGCCTCCACCATATTCCAACATCAAAAATGATTGCCCATCCCTGTCCTAGATCCATAAACTAGTGGGCTTAAAGTTACACATATGCTTAAATACCTACCTGGATTGGAGTTTAACCCATGTCAAAACACTGATCTTTCTTCAGCAACGCCTGCCCGCAGGAGGGCTGCACAGAGCCTCTGCAGCACACCCAGTCCCTGCTGGCTGCAGAATAACAACTGGAGATTGGGAATGAGGCCCAGAGGGCCTCCTTCATGCTGTTGCAGAGCATGTTACTAGGTGACCACTATCCTCAGCACTGCAGGTCAGATTTCTAGGCTGCAGTCGCACACAGGGGAGGTCAGTGGCTTTGGTAGTCTCTTTTAAACTAATGGGATTTCACTTTTTCTATTCTTCAGCCTACCCAGTAGGCAGCTGATGAAATTCCCCATAGCTTCCACAGGATCTTAATATGCAAAGCAGCTGGCAACGTAGTTTATTCTTCTAACCCACTCAGTTAAAAAATACAACTTACTTCCAGTCTTGAGTATACGTTTTTCCTCCTCCTTCAGCCTGTTCTGCATCAGGCGTAGGGAATTCTCTGCTTCCTGCAAAGAGTGAATATTTCAGAATCAGAACAGCCGCCATATTCCCAGGCCAAGTGGCTAATAAGATGCTTCTGTCTTAGCAGATAAGGGCACACAGGAGCAGACTGAGACGAGAGAATTTCAGCCTGAGAAGTGTTTCAGAAAGAATCGGTCTTCATATAAATTGGGGAGTTCATGCCTGCTTTGATCCCAGGGAAAGGATGGAAGGAAGACACAGCGGTAAAGCAGTGCACAGCCAGACAGGCAGAGTCCTGTGACAAAACCTTCACTCACTGCACTGAAAATGAGCCCAACTGTCTCAATCCCATGTGCAGTAACTGCCCTTACTATGTGAAAGGCTCTTCCTGCGGAAAGGAAAAAGCTGGAAGGTAAGTATGGTACAATGGGGCGTGAAGGCAAAGGACAGGTGACTAGAACAGTGGCTGCTGAACTGATGGACAGTGATGAGTTTCTGGGAGCAGGATTCCCCCCAAAACCAGTGATTCACAATTCATTAAAAGGCCTGAGACTAAGGAGCAAGAACAACACAGAAGCAACTATAACGTGGCCTTTGGGCACTGCCCAACCCTGAAGGCAGGTGTAAATGGCTAGCTAGGAATGGCTCTGTTACACAGTAAATGCAGAAGTGTTGTGTGCTATCTGAGATTCAGGAGAGTGGGGAAAGCTGGAATACAGGAAATTTAGCTGGAGCACTGGTGTTTTCAAGGGTAGCAGTAGTTAGGCCTGGGAAGTGGTACATTCCTCCCAGCCCGACATTCTGAGGAAGGAAACACGCCTGCCCTTGCAAAAAGCATCGAGGATGAGGGCAGATGTGCAGAGCGAGTACCACAGAAAGACAACTGCTTGAGAGCAGTTAGCAGACCCGTTAGCCTGAGTTCGCCACAAAACGGCTGCAGGCAGCAGAGGGCAAAGAGTGCAGTTGAGTTTATGAAGTTTGCTATGCTTTGGGACTACAACAGACCCAAGCCACTAAAGTGCATGCCAGTGTGGTGGGGTTCATGGACACAAGTGGGGTGAAAGAATACAAGCTTATTCTGTGAGGATCGACTAGCTCGTAAATCGCTGTACACGTCAGAGCAGGACAGCGAGACGCACAGTGCAGACCTTTAGGTAAGGGGGTTACAAATGAGTGTAAGTTTAGATGAGGTGGGTGCAGAGTGCAGCAGACAGAGTAGAGCTAAACTAGACTGGATAAACTTGTCAAGGTGTCTAAGAGTTCCCTAAAAGCCTGGTGGTTGTGGTGGTAACGGACTAACATCAGCCCCTTTTATTAAAAAAAATATATGGAAAGTAAAACAAGAGGTGAAAAAAGTCCAGGAGTCAGCTCCTGCTCCATGCTCTAGCTCCTTTTTGCCACTCTGACAATGTTAAGGAGCCATAAAACCACCCTAACTGGGCACCTGAAGGCATGGGAGACTCTCTGGATAGGGCGGACCCAGTGTAACAACCGTATGTCATCCTCCACTGGCCTATATGGTGGTTGAGCCATGTCAGAGGTAAGCCCCGTAGGAGGGGCCAGGCCTGGAGTGCTCTGCTGTTACAAAGTATCAGAGGGGTAGCCATGTTAATCTGGATCTGCACAGACTCCTTGTTGCTTTCTGCTGCTATAGTGATCCCTGGCTGACAAAACGGCCCTTGGGGGGCTCTGACCAGCTGGGGGAAGTTAGAGCAGCCTCAGTGATGAGAGGCATCTTAGAAACATGATGCGTTAGCTAGGATAAGGTAAATAAAATAAGACACAGTGTCACGCAACCCTCATCAGTTTGCCAACAATTAATCCAATGATTTAGCTATTCCTCCTGCCAAAAATATAATGGATGTGCAGTCTCTGCGACAGCCCCACAAAAGCAAGAAAGGCAGACAACAGCTTTAATGTACTCTTGGACTGGGTTCTGTCTTTTCTGGGGCTTTGATTTTCCAGGCAGTAACCCACCCGCCTTTAGCAGGAGAGCTAGTGTGCATGTAATTAAAAATTATAAACACAACAAGTGCTTTGATGGAAGCCTATGCTCTGTCAAGCTGCATATTAATATTCATACGTAGCATGAAAAAAGTGTGTGACACAGGGAGCAAGATTAGAAGGGAAGATGAAAGGGCCACTGATCTCAGGAGGAAATTGTCCCTCCTAGAACATATGCGGAGCTACACAGTAAGCGCTTAATGACTAGAACACCAACATATTAAACCTGCTCTATTTCCAAATGTACTGCAAGTATACATCTGAAAAGGACACACTTTGGTTGCATGGTTTGTAATACAACCCTCTCTACACTTTCAGTGAGAACAGTGTAACTTTAACAGCTGTGGCACAGATATGCTATTGAGGGAAGAGCACTTCCTCTCTCCAAATCTCACGGAGCAGCAAAGGAGGACTTCTAGCCAGCGCTTGTGAAAACTGCTGGGAAGGTGGATGGGCTACTGGACGAGTGCAGTGCGTATGGACCCCTTTTAATCCATTACAACGTTATGGACACACCTGCAAATACAGCTATTTTCAAACATTCCATTACTTGATAATCATTTGATGTATTCACGTAACATGATCACAGAACTAAATATTCAATATATATTTATAATTACACAATATACGAATATTTATTAAAGTGCATAAGTGTTTTTATACACTGTACATTTATTTTCATTTCTATTTTATACTTTCCCTGGAAACCCTACAGTACCATCGTGGATCACCAGGAGTCTGCAGACCATACGCTGGGAACCACTGGACCAGAAGAAGCACCTTAGCCCCTCGGGGGCAACGCCAGGTCACCAGACAAGGCATAAGCTGTGCTTGGCAGGGAGGGCTAGCTGTGTGCACCCCTCATGGAATGTGGGTGTTCGGCTCGCACCCGCGAGGCATTATCTACACTTAAAAGGGTTTGATCAATGGGCAAAACTCTGCAGGAAACCCCTTGAGGAATCATACCATACACCAGGAGATAAGTACAGTTCAAATCAGTTCCCGACTCCTGCCGCAGCCCCAAGCCCCAGCAGTCACGCCTGGAAGGCCTGAAGCTCTGAGCTCTGGCAGGCATGCCCATGGGGCTGAGTCCCTTCCCTACTGGGCAGAAGCCAGAGGCAGCACACTGGGGGCACATGGGGTCACACGCCCTCCCAGATTTTTTCCAGGGCTTGCTGGCTCTGCTCTGTCGCACTCCATCAGCCCCCCTGTAGCCAGCAAGGTGGGATCTGTGACCCTGGGGAGCGGCAGCAGCAAACAGCTGGGAGCTGCAGGGACAGCCACTGCTTTTACTGCCTCCTTTCCTCACGGAGCTAAAGCAGTGGCCCCTCCCTGCAGCTCCCAGCTTGTTGCCATTGCCACGCCAGGAGCCACTGAAGTTTAGAGGGGGGTGCCTTGGGAGGCATGACACAGGCCAACGACTCAAATTCATTTGCTCAGCACAGCCCTACTGTGGGAACGGAGTGCAGTGCAAGCTGGGTATGGAGGGTCCACGGACAATGGTCCCTGTCCCTGGAGGTGCCAGGAAGAAATAATCCCCTAAAACAGGGAGAACACAGAACTGCAACTGTTCTCCTAGCTAGGCAGCACAAGGCAGGGACCCCTGCACACTTCTGCTTTGCTTCCTTACAAAAAGAACCAAATCACACGGAACAAAGGGTATGTTTCAGACGCCCATGGAAATGGCCATAAGGAAGTTTTCAGAGTTTTTAAAAGGCATTATGACTAGGAGAGCTAACAGCTCCACGGAAAGCTGGTAATGATCACTTAGAATTGTGGATACAATACTGCTAAGCCTCGATGGGCATTATGCGCTCCTGGGGTACAGCAAGAGAATAAAGGTCACAGCACCAAGTCTGAACAGAGCACAATACACTCTGTGGGACACGAAAAAACAGCCAGGTACCGACCTTGCCAATAACTGAAACAAGTGAAGTCACTGGGCCAATACCAACAGGGGCTCCAACTCTGTGAATGCCAATTTTCATGCCTATGTTTTGGTGTGTGCAAATCCTTGCCTACACACCTGCAAATCCAGCAGCGAAGCCTCTAATTGCCCGGCCTGCACACACACGTGCAAAAAGGCTAACTACTGAGCCCATCTGGTACAAGTAAATCTGAGATTCTGTGCAAGAAACCCTGCCGATTTAGAGGCTGCTTTTGGAATAAGTATTTTGAGCGCTGAAAATTCCAGTGTAGGCAACTGAAACACCACTCCATACTCCATGCTCCATACTCATCTTTTCAGTGAGTTGAAGCTTAATTATTATAACATGATTCAGCTAGGAGACATCTGTTTTCTTGTTCACTGAACACAGTTCTTTACATTTACTGTGCATCAGATAGCCAGGCTGAGCACACGCCTAAGTCCCAGAATCCTCCAGCCGCCCACACGCAGAACTCCTACTGTTCCTAGCCTCTGTTCCATGTTAGCCATCGCCCAGTGGGACGCCCAAGAGTCTCCAAGGCAACACAAGTTAGAGCACAGGAGTTCTGAAAGTTAAAAAAAAAAAAGCACTCGAGCTGCTCACAGCAGCTGCCATTAAGTTTCTATGTGAGGTTGGGCTTTTAGCATTTGTCTGCAGTTCAATATACACTTGAACCTCTGTAATCCGGCAACCTGCGGAAATAGGCTATACTGGATTATGGAATTTTCCGGACCATGGGTGTTTTCCCACAATGAAGTGTGCTGGGGTGGAAGTGAAGGATCTGGGAGTGAGGGAGGCTGCAGGAGAGTGCAGGGGGTGGGAGTGTGGGATCTGGCTGTAAGGAGGATTGGGGTGGGGCGCTTATCTGGTGCCTCGCTCCCAGGGGCACATGTGGCTCTGTGCCCCCCACCACACCCAGGCAGCGCCCCGATGCTATGGGAGTGGTGGGGAAAAGCCTCCAGACCAGAGCTTCGCTGCACTGCCATTCCCCCAGCTGGGGGGAGGGAGAGTGGCAGCATATAGAGCTGCTTCCTCCTCCCCCTGCCAGGGTCCAAACCATGGGTATTCCAGGCTCAGGGACACCCAGTTTACTAAGGTTCAAGTGTACTCTG